CTTAGTTTGCTCATAGTTTGCTGGTAATGGGCATATAACTCCCGAGCTAAGTTTCTTGAGAGAAATCCCTTTTTTTGAAGATTTAGTGCAGAATGTCAGAAAACTAAATACTTATAGACTAAAATTGCTGAATTATATCGTCTCAGCAATTAAACAAATTTTCGCTGGTTCCTGGAGAACAGAACAGTAATTCTTATAAACGGAAAGTGATACACAATCATCAAGGCAACGCGCAACTACACACAACATATTTTCCGTTGATAAATGGTTACTGAAACTGCTCCAACTGCATAGAAAGCTCGAGTTACAAAAAAAACCGGTTAAATCGGCTAGCTAGTAATTACGGTTTCAGGTTACACGTTTGGAACACTGTTATTTTAGCGGTTACGTTAAATACCGACTATCCCTATAACATAGACAAGTATACTATGGCGTTACAATAGTATTGGAACGTAACGGGTCATAACGTATGCGAGTTGCGACAAGTTAAAAATTGGTTTCAAACAGATACGCAATAGTGACTAGCCGCTAGTGTTTTAATATGGATCGTTGGTTAAAAAGCGGCTCTTTTAAAAGACCGCATAAGGAACCTTTGGCAGAAGCTGATGAGACGGAACAACAAGCAAGTACTTCTCAGGAGTCACAAACTCAATTTAAAGCAGATAATTCGAGACCAAAAAATATTGGTAAATTTCGTGGGAAGCTACGAAAATATAATGAAGAATATTTGGAATTTGGATTTATTGAAAATACCGCCAACGACGAGTTAAGACCACAATGTTTTATGTTTTGATGTACTTTCAAATGAAAGTATGAAACCGGAAAAACTTCAACCTCACTTAAAAGGAAAGCACCCTGATTCACTGGATAAATCTGTCGATTTTGTTCTATTGAAAATGAAAGAACTTACAAAGTGGAAAAACTTAAGTGTTGGTTCTGACAATGAAAAGGCCACACTTGATTCTTTTCAAATTGCGGAATTAGTTGCTAAATCTGGATAGCGCCGCACTACAGCATAAGATTTACTTCTTCCAGCTGCTCAGACCATGTGTAAGACTATGATTGGTGATTCAGCTGCAAAACAGTTGCACGTAATACCTCTCTCAAACAACACTATAAAAAGAAGATTAACCGACTTATCTCTTCATATTGAGCAGACTTTAATTTCAAGACTCCAGATTTGTAAAATGTTCGCTAAACAACTTGACGAAAGTACAGATATTTAAAACAAAGCAATTTTGTTGGCATTTGTTCGTTACGACTATGAAATGCATGAAGACTTTTAGTGTTTACGGGAACTAATGCGTACTACGGCTGACTGTATGTTTAATGCTTTGAATGATTTTTTTACTGAATCTAATATAAGGTGGTACAAATGTGTTGGATTAAGTACAGACGGGGCACATGCTATGTTAGGAAAATTAACCGGTCTTGTGGCACGCGTAAAAAGTGTAGCACTTAATATAACATGGACTCATTGCTGTATCCATAGGGAAGCAATAGCTTACAAAAAATGTCTCCATTATTATAATCAACCCTGGACGAAATTGTTAAAATTCTTAATTTTATTAAGGCCAGACCAATAAACTCTCGGGTTTTTCAAGCAATATGTGAAGAAGCAGGCAATGAACACGTTCAACTCCTTTAACATACAAAAGTACGATGACTGTGCCGGGGAAAAATTTTGGCTCGAGTTTTTGAACTTTTTGATACGGCTTTTTTTAAATGACAATAAATTTGAATTAGCTGAACGACTTAACGATGTTCCTTGGATGTGCTTGACAGCATACTTATCGGATATTTTTGCATTTTTAAATTAACTCAATCTACAATTACAGGGCAAAAGCATACATATTTTTGAGGCTGAAGAAAAAATAGAAGCCACCATACAAAAATTACATATTTGGGATAACCGCGTGGAACAATCATCTTTAAGGACATTTTCTTCTCTAGATTCGTTTTTGAAATGCGAGGAAGAAATTTAGCCACAAGAGCCAAATTTAACTTATAATTTGTGCGCATTTGCAGAATACTTATAGCTAAAAGTTTTCATGAATATTTTCCGGCTCCAAATAGTGAAAACTGCTGGATAAGAAATCCGTTTGCTACCTCAAGAATTGAAAAAAATGCAACTCTTACAGAAAAACAAGATCAGCTTGTCGAGTTGTCTCGTAGCAGTTCTAAAAAATAGATTTTTAACGACAACGATTTAGTTCAGTTTTGGATTAAAATTAATTTTGATTTCAACGAGTTCTCAGAAAAGACTATTAAATATTTGATTCCGTTTTGCACGACTTATTTATGTGAACAGACTTTCTCTGTATACGTTCTTTTGAAACCAAAACAAAGAAACCGGCTGGATGCTGCTTCAGATATAAGACTAAAAATTTCAAATAATAGACGTGATTTACAAAAAATTATGATGGAAAAACCAGTGTTCCACTCTTCTCATTAAAATTGTTGAAAAAGTGTTATAATTATCATGTCATCAATTAATTTTATTTTGATTTTTTATTACTCATAAGTCTTTTAACAATTATTAATTACATTAATAACTTTACCGCATTACAACCGAATAGTTGCTTTATTTTTATTTTTGTAACGAAACTGTTTCTGGGGTTCCCATGATACTGGCGTCTAATTTTGGGGGTCCGCAGATTCGAAACATTTGGGAAACACTGCCTGTGAGTAACGTAGAATCAGCTCACCTGAGGGTATCGGTTGATGGCCGTTGGATGTGGATAGGGCTGGTAGCCTCTGGCTGCTCCTGGATAAATGTTGCGCATCATCGCACCGTTACATCCAGGCAGCACACTTGGAGCCAGAGCTTTTTGGAGCTGCTTTTCCTGTTTTCGGTATTTTGCTCTGCGGTTTTGGAACCACACCTGAAGAGAATAAAATAATATAGTTAGTTAATCGTGACACAATCAGAAAATGATTGTATGATAGAATATATAATATATAAATAACATATAATGATTGAATGGTTCATAGTTGAATGTGAAGGTTTTAGTTAGGACAAGTTTAAAGCGACAAGCTACAAAGTTTAGGGGTCCTTTAAAGTACAAACATTCTATCGAATACTTTGGTTGAATACAAATACTCTGGCCGAAGGAAACTTGAAATTGAAAACAAAGCTCATTTGGTTGCAGCAAGCGGGAGAAATCCATCCGGCAGAAAACCAACTTATCCAATAGAAAAAGTGATTCTTCGACATTAGGAAACTCTGATAAGACGTTCGTTTCATCGTCAATATAGTAGGCCGGTCCCCCGTCGCTGTTGGATTATCCCAGTGCTAGGGACAGCTAACTTCGTTACGGATCCATTTGATGGAATGGAGGGTTGTTCCGACCATCCCCCTCACGACTTGCTCCTTTTTCCCCATTGCCGAAAAACGTGCTCCAACCGTTCGTCCTTTGTTTTACCGATTGTTTCAGCCTCGTCGTTTTGATACGTGAAATTATTCTTGATGCACCATCACACGTTTGCCCTCGACTCCAGACACTTACGTCTATGTGCAGGTGGAACCAAGCTTATCTAATTATCGATAAAATTTAATTTTGAAGTGGGAATGCCCAGAAGTTGCCAAAATCCATCAGCAAAGCCATTAACTTGATAATAAATACAGGATGGTGTCTTTATTCAGGGATTTACTTAAGAAGGTAGCAAAGTTTGCATTTGCTATTTAGACAAAACCATAAAAACACTTTTTTAAAGTCTGCTAGAAAAATTGACAATATTTTTTTAAGAGCAATAGAGCAAATTTTTTCCAGTATTAATATACTTAATAAGGAAACATGAGAACCTTTAGAGAACTGAACAAACCGCTCCGGTTTGGTCTGTTACATAAGTAATTTTATAATAAATTTATCAAAAAGTTCAAAATTCCTTAAATATTTGTAATTGAAACGATGATGCAATTTTTTCAAATTGTATTTATCTTTATTTAGTGTAATATTTATTATAAACTGATCAACAAATAAACACACCCAAATTAGCCTTAACACTGGAAGTGGATAATTTCTGATTACTTAGAGCGATTTGGTTTCAATTATCGCCATCTGTTCCGATCGAATATTTTTCTGTAACTTCTGGTTTTGTCAAAAACTCAGTACTACATAGTTTACTACCAGGTGGAAAATGACCAAAAACCATTGCAAAATTAGTGCAATTTCGGCATGCTTTAAGTTGAACAAAAAAACGCGTTGTTTTTTATTTCTTAACACCTAAATCATAAAAGTTGACCGCATTTCCGAAACTCTTTATAAACTTTTTGCTAACCTTTTTAAATACGTAGTTACCTCAAAAAAAATTCCTTTTTGGTTTTGCTGTGATAACATTTTCCCACTTGTATCGATTTTCGTTTGTTTCGAGTCTCGAGCTCAAATTGAAGCTAATACTCCATAGATGACTTAAGGCGAAAATTCAGTATACCAAGTTTCATGCAGAGACCCGAACCGGATATGGACCCAAAACCGAAACGGAACCGTTTTTTTTGGACCGGAACCGGAACGGAACCCATATTTGATATTAACACACTGTTAGGTGCTGAACCGGAACCGAAATATTTTATTTCGGGTTTTTCGGTGTTTTTTCGGTTCTGCTTGTAACGTTTGAAAGAAATACTGTAAATTTTACAAGCCTGCGTTCGTCTCGTAAAATCACGTGATACTTCTATATTAACGCACAAAAAAACGGACGTCTGATGTTACTGAAATATCAGACTAAAACGTTGAACCTCATATTATTTGTTTGGTCTTATAATTCAGTGTCTACAGAATGTCTTTTTTTAATATTTGTTTTCTGTCTTTTTAATAATAAATTTATTAAAACTTTCTTAATTTATAGGAATTCTAAATATCACGTGATCGTCCTTGTTTGTGAATTGAACTGTATCTATTATCTAGGGTCATCACGCCACAAATTTAAAGAAACACCTTGTTCGATCATATAATTTTGCCGAAAATCAATTTGAAGTAGAGACAAACACAAAACGATCATCAACTCAACCATCTTTAAGTGATATGAATACCATTGGAGAAATTGTGTAACAGGGAAACATCTAATTGATGCATGTGTGGAATTAGTAACTGTAAATGGACGACCATTCACTTTAATGGATAATTCGGGATTTAAAAAAATATTGAAACCTTTACAAACTGCTTTGGCACAACAAAGAACCAAAAACAAACAGGAATCTCTGTCAGCTGAATCCATTAAAAAATATATTTCTTTGCTGAGAAGCAAAAAATATTTAGAGGAACAATTATTTGTGAGGAACAACCAACTTTTCAATTGAAATGAACAAACACCGTACGTTTATACACTATTTTTTAAATTCTGTTTTAAGTTGAATTATTTTAGTTTTTCGATCACCAACAAAGAAACATTTGAAATTGAATTGTTGGACAAAAGCAACTCCTCAAAAGATGGTGAAGACATGAACCAGGAAGAACAATGTTTAAAGGGAAATAAGAGTGCAAGAAGAAGAAGTGACGAAGTTGTGGACCTGAGTGAAAACGGAAGGAAGAGAAAAGCGCTAAAGTGAAAAAATTAATTGACAAATTACATTTCAAAAATACAACGATTATATTAATTTTTGTATGGGAGTCTTTATTGCAATGTTGTTCCATTTAATGTTACCTGAATTTCAATCCTTGTGTGGGGTTGCTAGTCCTCCTACACTCCTACCCTCTACCATACAACCAGCCAAAGTACCGTATGAAGCAGTAGATTGTTTGCGTATCTTTTATCTTGTATAATACAACCAGCAAGGAAAAAGATAGTGAGATTCCTAATTAGAGTATCTTTGTCCTCGTTCGAAGTTACATATAGATTTTGTAACCGAAATGAACCGAAAAAAACCCGGAACCGGAACGAAACCGAATTGGAAATTATTTTCTAAACCGGAACCGGAACGGAACCGAAATTTTCAATTTTGCCTTGGACCGAAACCGGAACGGAACAGTTATTTCGTTTCGGTCCGTGTCCTTGGTTTCATGAATGAACAGATTGTTTGAAAGAAAACTTCACTTTAATTGAAAGTCTGCCAGAAACTCATATTTTGGGAGGGTATTTCATTTTGCTCACTTTTGATTGTGCTTTAGATTTGGAGAATCGAATAAAAGAAAAAAAATGACTGCAAGACCAGGAAATGTATTTTTTCAGATCACCCTGTAAATAATTAAGATACGCGAAGAATTAAAAGTCCGTTGTGGCATATGGTGTTGGAATGCAAATGAGTTTTTGATTTAACTGGGAGTTATCAACTATAATAATCAACTACATAACGCTTCAAACAGAAACCAAACCGCTCGCCACAACCAGAATTTATTCATTTTCAAAATAAGGGTAAATTTGGTCGAAAGACATTTTATACTCTTATTTTTTATATTATTACTTATTAGAACCTGCTATTTAATACAAAGATACAAAAGTGTTTATGAGCGGATTCAGTAGATACAAATTATAACAAACGAAGGCACGATTGATGTACAGCATGTCCCAAAAACATGCAACAAAAGCTTAGTCTTCGATATAATAGGTGTACAAGTTATAAGCTGCACTTAATAAAATAATTAATTGGGCACTTCAAACTTGTCTTCCGCTTAATAGCCCAATGAAATTCTGTACGCGTATTTTTAAAACAGCTTTTCTATACATTGGACTTAAGAAAAAACAGCTTAAAATATTGGTTAGTTTTACAACTCGAACAATATACGATTCTCTCTGTAACAGCCGATACCTCAAAAATGGTTATCCTGACAAGTTTCGGTCACATCTAGGTACATTCTTGATTCTAAGGAAAATCTAAAACATTATGCGAAACGTCGATACACAGTGGGACAAAAAAGCAACAGTCATTTTGATTGTACAAAGACAAGTTAGCATTGGCGGATCTGTGTTATAAATGAATGTAAGTCACTTTTTAGTAGCATAATATTCCGGTAAAACAATGAACGTTGAGTTAAGAAAATTCTGACGACTTTGTTTTAGTGTACCCTGTATAACTAAACTCTATTTGCCAGTAAAAGGTGGCTTTAAAAGTCACCTGAAAAAGTTTATTTCCGAATAAAGTGCCCTGTATATAAGATAGTTGGCGTAATTTCTAAACGAAAAGTATGTAACAAAAAATTCAACTGATGTTGTGGTTAATTCGTGGTCGTGATGATAATCGGTAATTATTTAGGTGGGTGGGTTTTCCCTTAGGACTCCCCCTGGACCTTTTCCAGGGCTCAAAAAAAAATAGTGTTTTATTTTTGCCACCATCTATTGACCGAAAAACCCACAATTAATTTTTGTTTATTTTTGAAGATTTAAACACCACAAAATTAGATATTAATTAGATAATAAGACAGATCATTAAACGAGTAAATCGAACGGTTGAAACATGATGGACAGAATTTTATCATAGAATGAGAAGTTCTAATTTAAGCAGGAAGCCAAAATAAAAAACAAATTGCCGACAATTATCAGGAAAAATGATCCGTAATCGAATACAGTACAACCCATATAAGTATAAATTACTCTATAAATTGAAGCTGAATCTTTTTGCGTACGTGAAACATTTTTTTAGCAAAAGTCGGAACTGAGTTAAATTTGCTAGAGTTTTTTTTGTAAATGTTCGACTTCTTCGTTGTCTGTAAAAATATGGAAAAATGTTCAATACAAAATACAACCAAAGCGAATGAGGAAATGAAGAAAATAATGGAAAATAGAATAATCAATCGAACTCTTTAATAAAGCAGTAATAATAAAGATTTGGTTAATTATAGTTTTTTTCAATCTCAAAACTCTTAGCCAACTTGTCATCCATTGACTGATTTAAAGGAAAAAATGAGTCACTGGACATTGCCCGCCCTTTCCGAACGACAGTTGCGTCTCCTGGGGGGAAAGTTGCTTAGAGCACCACCCCCCAAGTTGAGCCTCTAATTCAATCAGAGATTCAGCTAGAGTCACTCGCTTTCTCTCTCGCGCTCTGTGTCTTTGCTTGAACCTGGTCGGCACTTTCATCTTGGTTTTGGATGAAAGCTGCAATTAGCATGGACTGTTTCGTATGTGAATTGCTCTTCCGGATAAGGCCCGAGTGGCAGGAGTTTGAATCTCGCTAGAATCTCACCGCATTCACTCATTTGCTTTGTCCTCATATTAGCCTCTATATTTTCAGCCTGCGATTTCACGTTGTGTGGTTTGTTTAAATTTCCTTTGTTACTTTACCGGAACCTAACTGATTGATTAGCCATGGATTGGCATGACCGGAAATTTCAGAAAATTAGCCGATATTTTTTTAAATAATATACAGGGTGCGTTTTTTTCGATGACTAGTACGGGGATCTTCGAAACTAGAGCAGTTACGAAGGTCAGATGGGCAAAGAATTGTAGTTTTGAATGCTCTACTCAAAATCAATTTTATTTTTCTAATATTTGACAGCTGTCAAGAGATTTTTGGGAAAAACTTATTTATGGTAATTTTTTAAATTGCTCCTAGTTCCGTTGATATTAATTTGACAGGAAAACATTAAATAGAAAACTGGTAGGAAATTGAATTCCAAACAAAGTGGCATAAGGCGTTTCTTCAAAATAACTGTCATTTTTGACATATGACACAAATTTGAGTTTTTTTAAGTGGCAACCATACTTGATTATTGCTTTACCGAATAGAGCATTTTATTACGATTTCTTTGATATGTCAGATCGTTAGGTTTTTGTCGAAAATAAAGTGTCTGGGAACAATTTATACTTTTTCAATTTAGTGGGTCTAAGTTAGTCATGGAAAATAGTATAAGACATAGAGCATTGTTTCCCTAGCAACAAATAATAACAACATTTTTGGCATTCAAGTTTAAATACAACTTATAAATCTAAGTTAGTTTTATTATAAATTATTAAAAATTGAAATATGTTGTTATTATTTGTTGCACTGGAAATTTTTTAATTTTTAAATTTAATTATATAAACTATTTGTTGCCCTGTCTTATACTATTTTCCATGACTAACTTAAATCAACTAAATAAATTGAAAAAGTATAAATTGTTTGCAGACACTTTATTTTCGAAAAAAACCTAACCATGTGATATATGACAGAAATCGTAATGAAAAGTTCTATACGATAAAGCAATAATCAAGTATGGTTGCCATTTAAAAAAACTCAAATGTGTGTCATATGTCAAAAATGACATTATTTTGGAGAAATGTCTTATGCCATTTTGTTAGGAATTAAATTTTCTACACGTTTTCTATTTAATATTTTTTGATCAAATTAATATCAACGGAACTAGGACTAATTTAAAAATTTACCATTAATAAGTTTTTCTCAAATATGTCTTGACAGCTGTCAAATTTTAGAAAATTAAAATTGAGTTCCAGTAGAGCATTCAAAACTACAATTATTTGTCCATTTAGCCTTTTTCGTAACTGCTATAGTTTCGAAAACCCCTGTATTGGTCATCGAAAAAAAATCACCCTGTACATACCTACATTCTTAATATTAACTTGGCCTTTGAAATCGCCCAGTATTTAAAAATTCAGCCTATATGAGCTGAAAACTACCAAAAAGTCCTTTTGGGTGTTCTCATAATGCTGATTTTGCTATCAACAATAAAAAAACTCACCTGAATTCGAGCCTCATTCAACTTGGTGCTCCTGGCCAGCTCCTCCCTGCAGTAAATATCCGGATAGTGGCTCTTAGCAAAAGCCGCCTCCAACTCCGCCAGTTGTTCTTGAGTGAAGGTAGTTCGGTGTCTTCTTCGTGCAGGTGTGGGACAAGAAGCAGTGGTAGGAGTGTGACCAGCATGAGTGGGCCCCCCCGGAGACACCGCGCCCCCTATCGAAGAACTGCTGGGCGTCTGGGGCTCCGGTTTGAGTTTCTTGAAGGCCCCATCTAAAAGCGAATCGAACAGATTTCAACTACACCGCTAATAATCCTGTACATATCAATGGGACATTCGGGCACAGATGGGCGAAAAGGGGGACCAGCGTGAGCGAGAGTGTCTTAATGAAGCGCCGATTTACCCTGCTTACGGTCGAGCATATGCACAGGACAATGATTTCGGTTCAGCGATGGTCTAGTTAACACTCAATTTCACTTATAGAGAGGGGCACGGCCCCCCGAAAGGTGCCATGTGTGTTCGGCTTTAGGGGATGATGGGCTGGAGCCTGTAATTACGGACTTTCAGTAAATAACAATAATAATTGGGTAGTCTTTTGGTTGTGGATCAGATGGGAAAATTCGATTTGGCTGAATTAGTAGGTTCAAGTGGATGGATCTGCAGGGGGCTTAAAACTTGCTCAAAATCCAGCTTAGAATTTTTTTTGGAGGCTGCTGTATTGAGTAGTTGTGTAGTATCGGTTGTTTTTCAATATTGAGTTTTTGCCCGACTTTCTAGTTTCTGGTAGAAGGCTAAAAATTAAACATCCAGCCAAAAGTCCGAATTTTAAATCCTCATCAGTAGGACTTCACATGTATATGAGTAAAGTCTTGCCTTCAAAGAGATTGATGAAAATGATATCGATTTTTGCTTAAAACTAATGGAAATATCAATTAAATTCCAAGAACTATTTTTAAAGTATTTACCAAATCATGTTCTGGTTCAAGAATGAAAAATAATGCTTGGCCCTCTATCAGAGGCTAAGAAATTCTAGAAGTCTAACAGTTTGTTTTTATCACCTGAACTCTCTCTAACCGTTAAAAATGGGAAAATGTTAGGAAACTCGAGTTTCAACCGCGACTGCATGAAAACATGAAAGCAATTTTAAAAATCATGTCGATAGAGGTTTGCATCAAACAAAATTCAATAAATTCATACTTCAATTTTTTTAACTTTCGCCTACCTATTATTCAAAATAATTTGAGACTAATCATAAATACTTAATTTAAAAAAAAAAATAAAATGTTTATTTGCATTTAGAATTTGCCCTTAATTTCACTGGCAAACGGACACTATAGATAATTTGTGCAACTGCAACATTTTCAAACACTTGCACTTCCCAATTTTATTTTTACCTTCCACTTGAACCACAAACTTGACCGTCAAATGCCCATTAGCCACCTTAAATCGCATTTTTCCACTGAACTTCACCCCCAATTGCACACACACAATTCAGATTAACATCGGCCACAAAAGATTAGCATGAAAGCAGGTCAACATCTGTGTGCGTTCGCCCCAATCCCAACCAGCCCCTTAATCGCCCTCCGGTGTTAATAAACAGTTTGGCCTCCACACTCTCCAGATTTAGCAATGGACTTTTTTTGAGTATTGATTATTTTACCTGTATGGTCAGCTATCGTTCTAGAAGGTGCTGGAGGCGTGTGAGCTGGCGTGTGGTTGCCGTGGTGGTCATGCGAGTGCGGCAACCCGCCATAGAGGGCACTAAAGTCTTCGGCGGAACTTCCGCTCGTATTGCACTTCCGGTTCGATTTGTCTGCCGATGCTGAAGCGGCGAGATGCTGATGGTGGTCTTCTAAGAGCCCTTGAACTCCTGATAATCAAGCACCACATTTTATAATTAAAATAATATACTTTTTAATGCTAATGATTCTGTTGCATTTTCTGAATCTTTGACTCAAATTAAATCACGTGGGTTTGGAGAAATTTCGAAATATGCAAAGGAAATAAATGCGTATAGCAAACAAGTTTATTTTAACTGAAAATGTCATGTTTGCTATGTCTATTGAAAAGGCTTGAAACTTAATGTGTTCTGCATTTGTTGTCTTTCTCGAGAAATTAATTTTGGGCCTAATTAGAACTTAATTTCACGCATTTTTTAACACTCAGAAAATCCGGTTTAAGATGCTCCAAACTCAGGATAAACTGTTGTTTATTTGCCTACTAAAAAAGTCAAAACTTCCTGTTTTTCCACGTATTTCTTAGCGGTTTAATTTAATTTCTAATTACAGATTTCAATTAAATTTTCAGATTTTTATTGGTTCTTTCCATTTTCCAAATGAGTCCAGTTATGGTCAAATAAAGTCAGAGAAGCCCAGAATTTACTCTCTGAACCCTGAGATTTAATCTCTAATTTGTTAAAATACCTAGACAAACTGTTTATTAGCTTCTGGTTCAATTAGAGTTGTATTTCTCACTATTTCTCAACCATTTCTGAAGATCATGAAATTTTCAAAACCGACCGCTATGGGCAAAAGAATTCGAATAGGTACTTTACTGCTCTTTTCTGATATTTTCTTCTAAGATTCTTTTAATATTTTGAAAAACATTAAGTTATGTTTTAATTCATTTTTATTATCGGTTGTTTTTTCAATTTACTTTAAAGCAATTCTCAATCAAAAATGGAGTTTTCCAAAATTTTGAAACCGGTTTGAAACTGCATCATTTTGGGCAAAAGTTTGGGTTGTTCTTTTCTCAGCAACTTGCAAGTTGCATAATGCCTATTTTTATTAATTATACCACATTTCATGTGATAGTGATAGATAAAATAATTTATTCTAAATTTTCAGAATTTCTCTAAATGGTTTCTAACGGTTTTGATCCCGAAACGTTTCCTACTTGAGTTTTGTCGGCTTTGAAAAGTCCCATATACCATACCAACTTAGAGTGTTTTAACAAAATATTTTTCAGAAATACAGGGTGATTCAAAATTGGCGTCATTCCTCTGGACGTGTTGTCCTCATAACCTCGAATTTATGTGTATACAAATAAACATACATTTCTGTCTTTAAGTTCAAACAAGTTACTGCATGTGCAATCACCTGGACATGGACAATAAAAACCAGAACAAGAGCCTTAAAAGCCTGAAGACTGCAAAGTCGTTAGTATCCTCATATTTTACAATTACAATATTTTGTAAGTTTGTATGAAAGAAAATAATATTAACAATTATCAATTAGCATCTGTGAAATTTAAACAAAGTTTTATAATTTGGAAATATTACACGAAAACCAGATTTAATCTCGGCAACCAAACCAATTTTCTAGGTTTGTTGATGATTCTACTGAAAAAGATACGCAATTTAGCGTGTTATTTTTTAAGATTTTGTACAGTAAATTTTAATATTTTGTAAAAGTAATTAAACAAAATAGACAGTTGCACTTTGAACAAAATGGGCACCTAATTTTTCAAAACTCGTCAATTTATTGGGCTTTTGGCAGTGATGGAAAATAATTTCTTCTTAACGTTTTGCAAACACGATGGCTTGCATCTTCAGAGATGGGTTGCTTGCATCTTCAGCGCAGCAATTCATTGCAAACCGCAAAAAAATCATTTGTTCGACGGCCTAAAAACCCGAAAACCTTCCTAATTTCAATCAATGGCTGCAAAACTCACGAAGATTTGCGAATAAAATCAGAAAGAAGTAAATTTTAGAGAAATTAACAGTTACAACAGACAAAACGAAACATTAACTAACGAAATTTTTTTTGCAGTTGAGACATTTTTGAATCGAACTCATTTGCTAGAAGTAAAGTGAAAGAGGAAATGAGAAAACTTTAGACACAATAGTAATAAGAAATTCAGGCGAGTAAGTAGAAAGCGTCAGAAGGAAAACGTTTCTAAATCCGTTCGGCTCGTAGTTTTTAAGTAAATGATTTTCAAACATAAGTAAAGTAACAAGAAGAAACCCATGGAAAAATTTAGAAAAATGCATACAAGTAAGAAAATTAACTACCTACAGTAAGAAGTTGATAATAATGACAAAAGAGGAACTGGGAACTAGAAAATGATAAAGTTGGTTGTTCAAAATAAGCCAGATCAAGAGCCTTTAGAAGAATACTTCAAATGAAGAAGATCGCATTCAGCATGGTTCTAATAGTATGATAAGTATCTCATACAGGGCGTTGCCGTTAAGTTGGGAAAATACAATATAAATCCGACTACATCGTTATTCCATCCAAAACATGGAAATGTTTCCATAAAAGAGACGGGGCATTGGCATAGAAACCCAACAGAGTTTTGTATTTGTACAGCAATGCGGCTCTTGTCTATTGAATGTTCGGTTCTCCATTTCTCTTGAATGCATAATTTTTGAAAAACTACCACCTACCTAATAAATTGCCGACGCCGACCAAATTGGGCCGCAAATCCTCCATCATCGATTTGCCCTGTGGACAGGCGTTAAAGTTGAGCTGTCGCGAAAAAATCGCCGGAAATATGTTGAATTGCTGATGGCTCAAGTCTTCCCCTGTGGTGGAAACTGCGGGGGCAGGCGAGGAGCCCAGCGCCCCCAAACAGGACGAGACCCCCTTAAAATCCAACTTGAGGCTTTGCTAATCTGTTGTTGAAGAGGAAATGTTCATTGAAGATCCACAATCACTTAGCAGGCGCTTCTAGAGACCAATTGTTTGGTTGAATTTTTGCACTGCAGAAGAACACCCGTTTCGGTTTGAAGGCACAGCTGAAGAGTTGGCTTCCAATAACAAACGGCACAGTTATCGGGGGTTGAAGAAGGTTTGGTGGATGAACCTGCAAAGACCGAGCGATGATGAAGACGTCAATTGATTGCGGTGAGAAAGATTCACATACCTAGTTTCAATTGTTTTTCTGGAGCTTGTTCACTTCACTAAATGATTCACTCATTATCAGTGGGCAAAAATGCGAAAAAGCACCTCCAAGTTAGCATCCAATCACATCGAGTGTTCCGATCGCGAAAAACTTTCGTCCATTTTCCTGAGCGCGGCCGAAATCCAAACAATCAACTCACTTGATATTGTTAATATCTGTGACAAACTTAATTAGGCCCAGGACTACGACGTTAAACCGAATCTAAATATGACTGGCTTACGTCTAAGCCCACTGAGAAGTGACTTTAACGACATTAAAATGTGATATCGTTCCTCTGTTATCACTAAAACCCCGTATTTCGATGCCCCCATCTCGCTCGCTCCATCCCTTAGACCTGCTCACCATCCCCATCTCCCTTTGATCTATTGGTGATGATGGGAACAAGGGCAGGACCTCTCGCTTCCACGTTCTCTGCCGTTTCCATCTCGCATCCCCCTTCAGAAACTCCCTCATCCAGGGTCGGAATCGAGTCATTATTGGGATTTATGCAATTTGCCGTAACTCGTTTAATTCGGCGATGATTTAATATTATCCTGTGGTAAATTAGGCCAATTTTTCCATTTAAATGCCAGTTTGGTAGAAGATGATCGGATTGAAAGAGTTCACTTGAAGAGTTGGAATGGCCTGAAATATTTTTTTTTCTTACATCTTTAGTATCAGCGGCAAGAGGTGGTTTTTATTGAATTATTTTCTGGCTTTTATATGCTTAATGCTATATATTAATATTAATAAAATTGAGAACAGGTTTTTCCTCATAAAGTCTTTGTATCTCAGCAACGAAGAGACTATGGATCTTTTGGTTACTTGCTAATGTTGTTGTTAATGCTTGCAGATGATATTGAAAAATTAGGAGGAAAATGTAATCGAAATGTGTTTCATTTGCAACTATTCGAGAGTACAAGTTAAGTAAAGTTAAATAATTTGAAAATTTTACAGTAAAACCAAATATAATTTGGATAATGAAACCAATTTTCTAAATTTGGTGACGATTTCATTAAGAAAAATCATGCAATTTAGATAGTTTCTATGATTTTTTGCTGAATGTTGCTGGTTCTTCTTCAATTATTTTCCAGCTTTCATACAGGGTGTTCCGTAAATTTCAATTTTGGTATACAGTATAAGCTAATTGAGTACCATTCTATGATAGTGTTTCGTGGTTCAGTTTGCTGATTTTAATACAGGGTAGAAATGTGGAACCCCTACTTTTGTTTTGTTTTGAACTTTTTTGTGTGCACTTAACCTTTTCTCGCATAGTTTTGTTAATTACTACAAGTTATTTACCAACTTTTTTATCTCTTATTATTTTTCTCAAGACCACTAGTTTGTCCGCAAAAAAATAAAATCGTTTTCTTTGCCTTTATCAAAATGTGTAAGTAATTAAGTGAATTTTTTTAAATCTAAAAACGTTTTCAGATAATAATTTTGGTACGCATTATTAGTTGATTACTAACAACCTAAATTATTTTTCTAAATTGTGTATTTTGGTTCAGATTACAATTATTAAGCTTGAATAAATTTTACTTAAATAATAACAATATGCGCAACGATATAAACAAACCAAATTAAATTTAAATAACCATTCTAAGTAAACTTAGCAGCTGTTAAAATTGGTCACCTTGACATTCGTGGCATAATCACAGTCTTATAATGAAATTAAAATTTACAGACCGTAAAGTTTGAATTGAAGTTTTTATTTTGTTAGAAATATTAAATATTCTTTCATGAAGTTCTTCGATTGTATTCACTTCTGTTGAATACACCGTATTTTTTAAATGGCCCCAGAAGTAAAAATCAAGCGCGTTTAGATCGGGAGGTCTGGGAGGCGAGTTTATAGGAGCTTCTTGACCTCTTTCAATCCAACGGCTTGGAAAGTTTTGATCAAAACAATTTAATTTTTTTGCGGGCAAACTAGTGCACTTAGGAAACAACAATAAGGGATAAAAAAATTGATAAATAACTTGTAGTAATTAAAAAAATCATGTTGATTAAAGTTTAGGT